GAGACTGCCATGTTTTTTCTTGATGCTTTAGCTAGGATCATTTGATTAATAAAAACAGATTTACTCATGACATCTGTGCCAGTAACTAATTAATTTTTCACCAAACTATTTTTTCTTTCTTCCCAAGTATACTACTAAACAAAATGTCATAGTGGTCTATTCAGTTGGATGTAGTCTGTGGCTGGGTAATGGTCAATGAAATGTGGCTAGAAAGATGTATATACTACTTCCAGGCCTGTAACATGACAGGCTCCCATCCACAATTCTTCCTTCACCTTGTACCCACTGAATGGAGAAGTCTAAGGATTAAGAGAAATTTCTAGAGTCTAAATTATTACATGGAAGAGAGCTGCCCAGTAGACTCAACCAACCAGGATAAAGCTATAACATAAGTGAAAAACTTTACTTTGGATTTTCCATTTTGTGTTACAGTGCTGGGGATCAAATCCAGGACCCTATGCATCCTAGGCAAGTCTTTTACCACTAAGGACATCTTCAACCCCTTATTTTGGGTTTTTGATACAACTTTTCAACTTTGAAGCTTTGAAGTTCTGTTTTAAATTTTAAAAAATTCTACCAAAGACAGCTTAGACTTTACCTTCTCTTCTAGGAAGAAATGTTCTTAAATTTTCCCAGAAAAATGAGGAAGTCCTAACGAATTCTGGTCTGGACCAACCAAACCAGAAAAATGCACCAGCCTGAGAAAACCAAGGTTATTCTAAAGATCTTCACTGACTCTAGCTAGCATGGGAAAACTAAAACCAACTTCTGGCAGTTGAGGTGAATATAGTGAGGGATCTGCAGCTTTTTCTGTCGGTCATCCACAAAGCACCAAGCAAAGACACTATGAGTGTTCAATTCAAGAAACATTTATTAAGCAAAAACTATGTGCCAGATACCAACAAAGTCTTCCTCCAGTAGGTCAGTAGATGGGAGAGATTAATCAAAAGTATAGAGACCCAGAAAATAACACAACTTAATGAAACAATTAACTAAGGGGGTGAGTAGGGACAAATAAACCAGGTATGAAGAAGTGGAGAAGGAACATGAGAAGAAAGTATAGAACGGAAGTAGGAAGCAGGGCTTGGAGATAACACCTGAGGTCCCCAGAGGTGAGGCTGGGGCTTTCCACAGGCCCCAGAAATCCTGCATAGTAATGAGGAGGAAATAGAAGCAGACACCCATCTTGGATCTGACCCTTTCAACCTTCTTTTCATCCTTCTGCATCTTTTTTACTTTTTCCTCATAAATCCTACTTTCTAATCATTGAATTATCATTTTATTACCTTCACTCTCTTTTAAACCAACTAGATTAGTTCCTGGTTTTGCATAGACTGTTTGAATTACAGTCTCCTGAATTGAATATTAAGTCAAAAGACTGACCACTGGGAGCATTTTCCATCCTTCTCCAGGCCGGGCTCCATAGATAGGCCCCACTGTATAACCTCAAGGCATCCCTTCAGAGTCAGGAGGCCACTGGCACACCAACCAAGCAATGGCAACTTCTGGATCTTTTTTTGTCTCAGTTTAGCGCAAACCAACATGCAGTAGCTTGGATTTCTATGCAGTACTTTGGCCAGATATGAAAATTAAAAAGTAAATTTTGTCCTCATTTTTGTGATTCTCTGGAATTGGCTGCCACCAAACAAGGTTGAGCAATTTCTCTGAAGGGAACACCCATTATTCTGGGAAAATTTAGGCACATTCCTTTCTAGAAGAGAAGGGAAAGACTAAGTGGCATCTGGCAGAATTTTCAGATCTAATGGTCTAAGAAAATGACACTTCGCAATGATGAGATATTATGGCAGTCAAAATTCTGATTTGATATTGCCACTGTCCCCAAAAGATTCACCACACTCTTGCACAGCCATCAGTTAGCCCTGAGATACTAGTTTGTTAATAGCCTCACTTGAAAAGTCAGGTAAATCACCTTGTCCAAGTTCTTCCAGAGACCATTGCAGGCCTAGAACTGGTACTTCTGTTAGAGGATAAACAGATTGAGATTAGAATCTTTGTTTTATCCTTTCTGAGTCACAGAGAACTGGGCAAGCTCAGTGGCCCTGCTATTTATCTATAAAACAAGAGGAGAGTGGCTGAAGAAAAAACCCCCTTCTTCACAACCTTGACTCATCCTATTTATTGGATCAAAACAAATTCTGTTTTTATCTTCACCTTTAATGGGGGAGGGATCTTTCAGTATAATAACTGAAATTCTTTCTGACCTCCCAGTCTAAATATTCAATAATTCTCTATCATGTTTCCCTGGTTTACTTTTGTCATAGAATGTATGTTACCTAAAATTATCTTTTTAAAAATATTTAATTGCAGATGGACACAATATCTTTTACTTATTGATTTATTTTTATGTGGTGCTGAGGGCTGAATGCAGTGCCCCACACATGCGAGATAAGTGCTCAACCACTGAGCTATAATCCCATCCCCTGAGATTATCTTTAAAAAAAAATCATTAGTTCGCTTGTCAACCATCTGCACCCCCTCCATACATACATACCCACTGGACTATAAGTTCCATGAGCAGTTAACCTTGTCTGCTTTTTCACCACTGCATATACAGTACCTTAACACATCAGAGTCAATTAAATGAACAGGAAAGTGAATAAATCCAAGATGTACTGTAAGAAGTGTCAAAATAGACTTTGTTGGTCTTATGAGAAACTTCCCAGGAATGAGCAGATACAACACAATGAGAACTCATCAGTGCAGATGAGAGGAGTTTCCTAACATAAAGCAGGTCTGAGGAAGAGGGCAGGGACTGAGGAAGAGGGCAAAAGTGAGGTAGAAATGAGGATAGAAGGAAATCGAGGGAACGAGAATTTTTGTGGGTCTGCTGAGAATAAACTTGGCAATAGCTACAAGGCCACCAAGGGGTACAGTAGACAAACATCTGCATTTTTCTGTTGTACTTCAAAGATATTCTTAATAGACACGTAAGCCTGGAGCCATCCTTATTGGGCTTCCTAAGCCATTTGGAATGTAAGATGTTACAACTGTGATGCTTATCACTGTTTATCACAGTGATATTGTGGGGATTATAAGTGATTAAAGAGTATAATACCAGTAGCACCCTGATACATAATTATACTCCCTGGTGTGTAATACCCATGGCTCCTTGACTTCCCTCCCGGCATCTTCAGTATCTCCTATACTTATCATTCCTGACAAAATTTAGCTGAGTTCATCGCTCCTATCTGAAATAATCTCTGTTTCTGCATCTTTTTTTTTTTTATTTACCATCCTGCTTCTCTGCTCCCCTTCAAAACAAAGATCCCAAAAACAAGCCCCCTCCCTTGCTGAGAGGCCTACCAACCATAGCCAGTTACAGAGATTGTTCATGCCAAGGCTACCAATGACCTCCTGTTGTCAAAAACAAGGAGCACAATCAGCTCCTTCCCTCTTACCCCTCTGTAGCATCCAACTTTCTTGAGCACTCATTTCTCAAAAATCTCTTTCCCCTGACTTTTCTGACACCACATTCATCAAGTTCCCCTCCTACTGGTCTGGCCACTACTTATTCTGCAATGCTAGCTCTCCGTCCTCTACTTGATTTTTCAATGTTGCAATTCTTCAAGAGTTAACCTCTGACCTCTTTATTCCTTTAAAAAATATTCTCATCCATCCCTATGTTTCAAATCCATTTATATGAAAACTCCCAAATTAATATTCTCCAAATATTAATATACAAATAAAGTTCTGAATCTGTCTACCTAAATGTCAACTTGACATGTCCACTTGTATATCCCACAGATATCACAAGCTTTATAATGTCCAAAACCAAACTATTGCTCTCTCCTAACCCCGGCCCAAACCATGCTCCTCTTCCATTCATTTCCATCTTCATAAGTGTTATCTCCATTTTCCTAGAAAATAAGAAGTCTCTTCCTCATCTCTTGTGACCAACCCATTACTAAACCCTGCTAATCTTTTCTTCAGATTATATTTTGAATCAATCTCTTATCTCCAGGTCTACTTCCTTCATTATGGTTTTACGCCTCCTTCGTCTCTCATCTGAAATAGCTCATTTCCTCCCACTTTTGCCCAACTCTATTTTGTTCTTATAATTCCTATCATCCTGGAATGAAAATTTTAAACTTAAATTTGAACATAGCAATACCCAGCAAATAAAATGAAATTTGTCTTTTCCATGGCCTACTCAGCATAATCTAGCCTCTGCTTACTGTGAAGCTCAGATCCTTATTCTTTGCCTTGTACCAGGCATGGTCTTCTTCCACCTACCATATTTGCCAAGATTTTTTTTTATGGAATGTTTACCTCTTCCTCTTTATCTGCCAATTCCTAGTAATTCTGCAGGTCCCCATTCAAATATTTTTCTGATTCACTAATCTAAACCAGATCCTCTTCCATTTTTTACCTGTACTTGTTTCTTTTCATTCACACCGTTTAACACAAATTATAATTATATAGCTGCACATACAATATTTGATATCTGTCTCCCCAACTAGATAGTAAAGAGTGTGAATGCTTTCCTCACTGTTATATAGCCAGCACCTAGTGCAGTACTTGGCACATAATATGCACATAAGAAATGCTTGCTTAATGAATAACTATCATTACTTAGTAGTCAAAATATCAAGGTTTATAATAGTACAGACATATAATTCCTTTTCTGAAACCCTTAGATCTAGAGGTATTTGGAAATTCCAAAGAATTCTTAATTTAGCAATATGGTAAAAATTCCACATATGGAACATTCCTGGCAAGGTCTAGGGTGCACTTGTAACCAAACACTTAAATTAAAATGACAAATAGCCTCACATAAGGCCAGGTCCATTATTGCTACCAATGAAGCTATGAAAACAAAGTCCACAAGCTTTCAGGAGTTGGGATCAAAGGGCAGCCCCTTCACCCACCACATGTGGGTTGACTTTCACAGGACATACCTACAGAATAGCCTTTTTCACCATGTGAAAAAGCACTTGAGATTCACTCAGACTGGCCCAAAGGAAATTCAGACTACTCACAGGAAATGGCTGACTCCTGATGGACTCCAGTCACATGACCTTTCCACCATGGAATTCATCCTCACTGCAATAATCACCTCCTGGGAGCACTTGAAACTCTCTATTTCACAACAGATTTGGGAAGAAAAAAAAAATTAAGGAATTTGTTTCAATCCATGGTCACTGCTGCCAAGATGTATTTAAATCCTAAGAGTCCAGCCCCACCCATCCCCACCCCCACTGTACTTACTCATGACTCATAGGACTTCTCTGTTAATAACCTTCCTGAAACTTGCAAGTGCGTTTGTGCTTGCAGTATAAATGCTTTCACTTTAAAGTCAACGGAATGTTACAAGGTATTGACAGGGTTTTTTTTTATTTTTTATTTTTGTAGTAATTAGTTTATCTTAAATCATTTTATCTATAAAAATTATCCCCTCTTAAATTAGAAAAAGGGATAACCATGAAGATGGATTGAAATCATCTTAAACTTTTTGCCCTTTTATCTTTTTCAATTGTGGTAAAATACATGTACCACATAACTTGCTGTTTTAACCAGTCTTAAGGATATAGTTATATGGCTTTAAATTCATCTGTATTGTTGTACAACCATCACCTTCCTCCATCGCCAGAACTTTTCCATCTTCCCAAGTGGAAACTCTGCCCATTAAATAATAACTAACTCCCCCTTTTCTATTTCCTCAGTACCCAGCAACTCCATTCTACTTTCTGTCTCTGTGAATTAACTCTTCTTGGTACTTCATATAAAAGCAATCCAACAACAGATGTCCTTTTGTGACTGGCTTTTTTTAACTTAACATAATGTCTTCCAGTTTCATCCATGTTGTAGCATATGTCAGAATTTCCTCCCTTTTAAGGCTAAATAATATTCTATTGTATAGAAATACCACTTTTTCTTTATCCATTCATCTGTCTATGGATACTTGAGCTGGTCCCACCTTTTGGCTATTGTGAATTATGCTCTTAAACTCTTTTTAAAAACGTATCTTATAATACATTGGTCAGAAAAATTTCCTAACAAAATAAAACTGACATCCTTAGCTTTCAAAAGAAAATCCATTCAGTCAGGGAAGAAAGACTACATTGTTCAGTAATACCACCCTACCTTCTCACAAGTCAAATGTTATTAGCTGAAAAGTTTGCTGTCCTTTTAACCATTTTTTTCCAAATGCCATGAAATTTTAGAATACATGTAATTTAGAAATTGTAGTTAAACATCCTCCTATACTAAATTTATGCTATTTAAAGATAAGCTTTTGCAGCCAGGCACAGAGGCTCATTAATATAATCCCAGCTACTCAAAAGGCTCAGGCAGGAGGATTGCAAGTTCAAAGCCAGCCTCAGTAACCTAGTGAGGTCCTGAATAATTTAGTGAGACCCTGTCTCTAAATAAAATATAATTTAAAACAAGGGCTGTGGATATGGCTCAGTGGTTAAGCACCCCTGGTTTCAATCTCTGGTACCAAAAAAAAAGAAAAAAGAAAAAAAAGACAGCCATTTGCCAAATTTCTCAAGTTAGTAACAAGAGAACAAATCCTTATCTCATTAATTTTCCAAGGAATTAAATTGACATCAACTCTGTATGTATGTGTGTGTGTGTGTGTGTGTATATATATATATATATATATATATATATATATATATATGTAAATTTTTTTTCCAGAATCACTGCAGTCCAAATATCAGTTAAATTTTAGGGTGAATCAAGGTCTATCGAAACCCCATATAGAGGCTTATTATTAAGTTTCATCCTAATATGGCTTATTGTAATTAAGTTTTAAAATTTTATCACAAATGATGTGATATGGAAGGTACCTCAGAGTTCATCTTGGGCAATTCCTCATTTTATATCAGGCCAAGAAGCAGTATTTTCCCATTGCACTATGTAGCTAGCCCCCTTACATCATTTTTAGGAATAAGAGGGAGATTAATCATTTAGTAACATCCTGTATAATTTAATGGTTTTCAAGAGGCTGACTGAGAAGTTATTTCATGTTTTCAGGCTACAGAGATTGGGTGCCACAATTCCAAACCTGTCATCTCAGGAACTGCTATTAAAGTGGATGTGTTTATCAAAGGGCAGAGCTTGTTGACAGCTTGCCTGATTGAATACTTCTTGGAAGTGAACTATTCATGTGGGAGAATCATCACATTGTTCAGTAATACAATTACCTTTTTGCAAACCTAGCGCTGTTTCATCTGATAAAAATTAGGCTGCCCTCCTCACTCTCACCTGCCCTGCCCAATCTCCTTCTTAAATGCTGACTCTTAATGTGATTTCATCATGAAGGCACAGAGGAGTAGCTTTTGGTTTTCATGCTGCAAAGAAATTGTAATAAGACACCCTGCTGTTACTACTAAATTTGTGCCACTCAAAGGTGACAACCTTGTCATCTGTTTTGAATCACTGTACTCATTCTCTCAAACAATGTCACATTTAAAAAGTAAGTCAAAGGAGGAGAGAGAATCCATTCGCCTGTTTATCTAATAAGAGTTAATCATTGTAACAAATGCTAGACAAACAGGCATTCATTAGTTTGTGGAGGGGACTCTCTTTGCAATCCCAAACTTACAAAATCAATAAAGAAATTAATTTGGGGTATTTCCAAGGGATTCCTATTTTTTAAATATATGTGTTCACTGAACTTCTGTTCTGCCTTTGGAATCTCACATGTACACATGTCATGGACAGTTGTAAATTATACCCAGAATACTGAAAGTAAAGGAGTTGGGAAATGAGATTCTGAGGCTTCCAGCCCTGTGATACTGGAGAGAGTATAAAAGAAGGAGGAAATAAATGCTGATTGTTTATGCATGCATATATATTGTATATACAAATATTCATATATATTTATATATATATATATATATATAAATAATGCATTCACCCCATCCCATCCCCACACACCTGATAAGATAAGCCGAGGTTGTCCTTGTGCTGCTTATCAACTGTACAGTCTGAGGCCACACCATCTTCCCTAGAAATGGTCTTGATGCTGTTTTGTAAAAGGTCACCCCTGGCTTTCTTCATCAACCCTCTCTATGTTGTCACAGTTATTTAGTAAAGCATAGTTCAAGCAAACAAACAAACAAACAAAGATAAAACTGAGCCAGTTAAGCCTAGAGATTCAATTTCTCATTTATTAGATGAAGAAGGCTCTTTTCCTAAGACTTTTTCCAGAGCAGCCAGCTGGCTGGCATTTCCTAAGCCAGTTCCAGCGTCTGCTCTTGTGTTTGCAGCTGAGTCGTCTGTTATTTGGCAACATTTCTTGATTATTCAACCTAAAGGGAAACAAAGAGAAACAGCAGTCACATCCCTGGTGAACATACATCCTAGTCTGTTTCCTAAGTACTTATTAAGCAAGAGAAACTTTACATACATGGATATCATTTAAAAATATGCAATGATATTATCCATATTTTACCAAAAAAACAAGGAGGCAGGGAAGAAAATTAAATACCTTGGAAAACTCTTCCTCCAGTATAACTGTTGTTGACTTATCTATGCTAGTCTATCACTCCACCTGCATTTATATGTCACCCCAGGGCTTCAGCAGCTCTTACACTACAGGATGGTAGTTCATTGTCCTTCAGTCCATCACAATAATTTCCATTTCTAAAAATGAAAGGTTCATCTAAATTTTTTAAAAGTCCTTTTCAGTACTTGTTAGCTAATTTTAAACATGAGTTTGACTACTAAAACTTTACGTATCCAAAATAACAAATCCAAACAAGAAAAAGAGAAATGAGGTAAGTTTATTTGGTGTCACATAGATACAATTTTAAGAGCTGAATATCAAAATCACTCTTGTTGAATTTTACTGTCTACCTAAACCCACCAACCATGCTTTAAAGTGGAATAAAATGTGGTTTGGCTGCAGATCTCACTGCCCTGGGAAGTGATTCTCAAAGGTCTTGGTTCCTGCCCTAGCTCCAGTCATTATAACTGTATTCAGTGTGACCCAAACTCCATTCTGACCTTAGAGGGCAAATGTTTCATCTTTTGAGCTGAGAAAATAGCAACTCTGTGTCCATGGACTGACTTGATTCTTCCCACAGCTAGGATCTAAGTCAACCTAGGATGGGCCAGCAACAGCAACATCTGACCTTGTCACCAATCTATCAATACTGTTTACTGAACAACTGTACTTAAGGACCAAATCAACTCCATCAAAGGGGTCAATGATTATGATACATGTTTAAAAAAGAATTTGCCTTAAAATGACATTATCTGGAAGTCATTAAACAATCAGTCTTAGTCTCCTATTTTGAACTTTCTCAATGACTCAGCCCTAATGTAAATATCTCCACATACTATAAGTAACTGTATGTATCTCTGAGATTTAACAGCATACTATTTCTGTACCATAATTGTTGTGGATCTACTCATCATCATTATGCATCAAGAACAAGAACTATCTTGTCCTTTTTCTTCCATTACAGAAATATGTCCACAATCCCTAGTTATAGTTACTCAATGTATCTTATAAGCAAAAATCTCAACAAATGAAAATATATATTTTAATTGCTTATTTTCTAACATCTGAAATGCCCATTTTAATGCTCCGTATATTGTTTCCTATTCATTAATGCCAACGTATACCCTAATATGGCATCAAGAAGAAATACGTAAAGTAAGTTTAAAGATTTTTTAATTTAGAAATTTTATTTCAACATGTATCATAATTGTTAACCTCCTTTGTTCCAAATATGAACTTAAGCAAGTGACATTTACCTCCAGTTCTCAAGGAAATATCTTTGTTTAAATGTTTAAGGTCTGAAATGTCATTTACTAATAAGATTTGAATACCCATTATTTAATTTCCCACCAGGAGTGCTGCTCCCACAGTTGCTAATTATCTCTTCTGTGCATGTCCTCTTCCTCCTAGTAAACACTGGATTCCTCAAGGATAGGAGTAACATTTCATTCCTAGGGACTCACAAGACTGACATATTAAATGTATGTTGTTGATTTGCTATATCTTATAAACCATTCTGGTTTAAAACTAACCTCAATAAAATAATGGTAATTAGATCAGCTCAGTTATTATAACCTACATCAAAAACAAGGTGGTAAAATGTTGCTCTATCTTCTCTGGAAAAAAAATTAACAGAAGAGGTAGCATAAAAATTTGAGGATAGCCAGTAATCACACCTGTAATCCCAGCAG